AGCTCATGGTAGAATTTTGCAAGGCCTATGACTTCTCTGTGAACCACAAAGTCAGCAGTTTGAAACTACCAGCTGCTTCGCAGGAGAAAAATGAGGCTTTTTGCTCCCGTAAAGATTTACAGCCTCGGAAACCCTGTACAGGGTCGCTATGGGTCGGAACCAACTCCATGGCACATAACAACAACAAAATGACTTCTTCATTGTAAACACCTTTTTAAAACAACATAAAAGATGACTATACACATGGATCTCATCATCTGGAATACACAGAAGTCAAATCAACTACATCTGTGAGAAGAGATGGTGGAAAAACTCTGTATTGTCGGTCAAAATAAGGCCAGGGGCAAACTAGAACAGACCATCACCTGCTCATATGCAAGTTCAGGCTGAAGCTCAAGAAAATTAAAATAAGTCCACAGCAGCCAAAATATGACCTTGAACATATCCCACCTGAATTTAGAGATCATCTGAAGAACAGATTTGATTCATTAGTTACTAAAGAATGAAGACAAAAAGAGTTGTGGGATGACATCAAGAACATCATGCAGGAAGAAAGCAAAACATCATTAAGAAGACAAAAAAGAAGGAAAAGAGCAAAATGGATATCGAAAGAGATTCTGAAACTTGTTCTCCAGCATAGAGATGCTAAAGCAAATGGAAGAAATGAGGTGATAGAGCTAAACAGAAAATTTTGAAAGGCAGCTCGAGAACACAAAGTCAAATATAACGTAATGTGCAAAGACCCAGAGTTAGAAAAACAAAATGGAAGAACACCCTCAGCATTTCTCAAGCTGAGGGAACTAAAGAAAAAAGCCTCGACTTGTGATGTTGAATGATACTATGGGCAAAGTATTGAACGATGCAGAAAGCATCAAAAGAAGATGGAAGGAATACACAAAGTCACTGTACCAAAAAGAAATGGTCAATGTTCAACCACTTTAAGACATAGCATACAATCAAGAGCCAATGATCCTGAAGGAAGAAGCCCTAAGTGCATTGAAGGCATTGGCAAAGAACAAGGCACCAGGAATTGATGGAATACACATTGAAATCTTTCAACAAACTGGTGAAGCACCGGAGGCACTCACTCATCTATGCCAAAAAATTTGGAAGGCAACTACCTGGCCAACTGACTGGCAGAGATCTATATTTGTGCCCATTCCAAAAGAGATGACCCAAAGGAATGCAGAAATCACCAGACAATATCATTAATAATGGATGCAAATAAAATTTTGCTAAAGATAATTCAAAAATGGCTGCAAATGTACATTGAGAGAGAACTGCCAGCAGTTCAAGCCAGATTAAGAATAGGACATGGAATGAGGGATATTATTGCTGATGTCAGATTAATCTTGACTGAAAGCAGAGATTACCAGAAAGATATTACCTGTGCAAAGGCTTTTGATTGTGTGGATCATGACAAGCTATGGACAACATTTTGAAGTATGAGTATTCCAGAACACTTAATTGTGCTCATGAGGAATCTGTACCTGGACCAAGAGGCAGTTGTTCGAACAGAACATGGGAACACTGAATGTTTTAAAATTAAGAAAGGTGTGTGACAAGATTGTGTTCTTTCACCATACTTATTCAACCTGTATGCTGAGCAAATAATCCGAGGAGCCTGGCTTCTATGAAGAAAAATGTGGTATCAGGATTGGAGGAAGACTCATTAACAACGTGCGATATGCAGATGATACAACCTTGCTTGCTGAAAGTGAAGAGGACTTAAAACACTTACTGATCAAGATCAAAGAGCACAGCCTTCAGTTTGTATCGCACCCCAATGTAAAGAAAACAAAAATCCTCACCACAACACCGATATCAATGGAGAAAAGATTTAAGTTGTCAAAGACTTCATTTTGCTTAGATCAGCCATCAACATTCATGGGAGCAGCAATAAGAAACTAAATGACTTATTGCATTAGGCAAATCTGCTGTAAAGTGTTCAAGAGTTCAAGAGCAAAGATGTCAGTTAGAGGGCTAAGGTGCGCCTGACCCAAGTCATGGTATTTTCAATAATCTCACATATGTGTGGAAGTTGGACAGTGACTAAGGAAGATCACAGACGAACTGGTGCATTTAGTTATGGTGTTGGAGGAGAATATTAAAAGTACCATGGACTGCCAGAAAAACAAACAAATCTGGGTTGGAAGAAGTATAGCCAGAGAGCTCCTTGGAAGCCAGGATGGCCAAACTTTGTCTCATACTTCAGACATGTTGTCAGGAGGGACCAGTCACAGGATAAGGATATCATGTTTGGTAAAGTGGAGGGTCAGCAAAAAAGAGGAAGATCCCCAGCGAGATGGACTGGCAAAGTGGATGGATTGGCAGCATCAATGGGCTCAAGTGTGGCAACAGTTGTGAGGTTGGCCCAGGACCGGACAGTGTTTTGTTCTATTGTGCATAGGCTCACTTTCAGAATTGCATGAAGAGCCCCTTAAAACACAAACTGCTGGGTCCCACCTTGATCTGGGTGGGATTCAAGAGTCTGAATTTCTAACAAATTCCCAGGTGATGCTAATGCTGCTGTTCTGGGAACCACACTTTGAGAACCACTGGTCTGTGGAAAAGCACAGTGTTGGCACAGCAGAGTGGGGACAGCAGCCACAGTGTGGTAGACATCAGGCTTGGCTGCAGGGGAGCCGGTGATCAGTCACAGGGCCTGGACAAGACACTTTCCTCCCTCTAAGCCTCAGTTTTCTCATCTGTAAAATAGGAGTAACAACACCCTAGGATGGTTATGAAAGCTTGCACATTGTTACCATGCTCAACAGGTTTCAGCAGAGCTCCCACACTAAGGTGGACTAAGAAGAAATCGAGTTCCCAGCAATCTACTTCCAAAGACCCTATGTTGTTGTTATGTGCCATCGAGTCGGTTCCGACCCATAGCGACCCTGTATAGGGTTTCCGAGGGTGTAAATCTTTACAGGAGTAGAAAGCCTCAT